GGTCATCTTGAGTAAGTTGAGAAATGATTCTGGCATAATATATATATATATATATTTGAATTTTATTTCAATGCTTCAAGAGCTTCTTATACTTAGCCATGCTTAATTTAATGTTGAACATGTCATTTTCGATTATGATCGACTTCAATACGATTCTTCTGTTAAGCTTAGAAAGCAATTATACAGTTCTATTGCTCAAAGTAGAGTCTAATAGTATTATAAAAACCTCAGAGATTTCCAGTAAAATATCTTTAATCATTTCTAAGATACAACGGTTCAATTATTAACCTAACAATTGGACAATTTTGCTGTTTCCCTGGTGTATATATATATATATATATATATATATATATATATATATATATATATATATATATATATATATATATATATATATATATATATATATATATATATATATATATACATACATATATATATATATATATATATATATATATATATATATATATATATATATATATATATATATAATGCAAGTCGAGTCTGGCAATGCAATGCAACAATAATAAAACAGAAATTTCAAAAAGTAAGAATTATGCTTGTGCAAAAGTGAAATAGTCAAGTAGTTATACAGCTTTCTGAATTCAAGAAAGAATACAAAATGTGGGAATGAGACCGATCATTGTCCATTTGAATTCTTTTGGAAGAAATCCCAGCATGAATCTATAAATTTAAGTAAGAGATTTTCCTTTGAATTTGGAACCAACAAATTCAACCAATATTTGCATGTAGACAGAAGCATAAACCCAAGCACATATTCAACATTTAATAACCTAAACATGGGTTGATAGGTCAGGAAATTTATCAAACCTATATATTATATTAACCGGCGTCCTAGAAGATTGATTTGTTTATTTAACGGCATATCAACTCCTCATGGATCATTTAATGCCAAAATTTTATGTTCATCTGGAAATAAACAGAATATGATATATGTTATTCTGCTTTCACAATTGAATACATAGTAGATTATACTATTTACATTATTCGGACTATTGTCCTCATCTTTGCCGCCATATTTATCAGAATGTTTCGGCTGTATAACGACCGAAACGTTGTAATAAATATGGCGACAGAGATGAGGACAATAGCCCGAATAATGTAAATATTGTACATAATACCTCATCTCAGAATTATAGACAGATACTGAAAGGCCGAAACGTTGTAATAAATATGGCGACAGAGATGAGGACAATAGTCCGAATAATGTAAATAGTGTACATAATACCTCATCTCAGAAATATAGACAGATACTGAAGGGCCGAAACGTTGTAATAAATATGGCCACAGAGATGAGGACAATAGTCCGAAATAATGTACATAATATCTCATCTCAGAAATATAGACAGATACCGATGGTAGATGATACTCAGCTATTGGGCATATACATGTTTGCGTGGACATAATTACTAGATTCGGTGAGATGTGTTTTTTGTTGTAGTTTTGTTGAAGTTATATTTTGGAATAAAGTTTGATTCCTTTTAATAAATTGTAGGATATTATATGGCCTAATGTCATGAATCAGTTCTTTCATCTTGGGGGTTTGATTTTGTTTAGCGGCATATCAATGTCTGTGAGTTATTTAATGCCGAAATCTTAATATTTTTAACATAGCTTTAGAGATTCAACTACAGATAAAATGTATTGTTGGTGTAAAATTTGTTTGGAAGTCTGCTTTAAAAATTTACTGTTGGTAATTCTACTATAAACGTGTAGAGTTGGTAATGTTTTTATATAATGATATATTTCTGGTATTTTTACTATAAAATAAATTTTTATACTTTCACAGTGTTTGGGGGGGTGTTCACTATTTGCCCACATCTAGAACCCTAACAGGTGCTACCACACCATGTCAGGGTGGTGCTGGGAACAGCAGTAGTTAAGGGGTGGTTCCACGCTTCTCAAAACATCCCGATCGGAAGCCTTGCAGCCAGATGTAGTTTATTATTTTTGTACCATTTGAAGATACATACTTCCTATAGTCATGTGGCTTTTTTTTTCTCATCTTAAACACGAAGCGACATTTAAGAAAACCGCAAACTTCGAATCTCTGAGCGATTAACGAGTAAAGTAATGAGAACGATATGTTATTTTTTTATCTCCTGTCGTAGAATAAAGGCTTGCAAGGCGAGGGCTGAGAAAAAAGACAATAATTTAAAATTACGACATGGACTGATGCATCCTTGTTCCGATTTCGAAACTCAGTCAAGTTCATTACATTCACTTACGTGCTAATGGAAAAGGTATGAATCCAAGTCTTCTCTGCTTCCCCCCTCAGCTATGGATAAATAATGGGTTCTATAGCCTTGGGTGGCAACCGGTCTACAGCAGAAAGAAACGGCAACCTATTTGCTAGGTCTGCTGCTAGGAAAGTTGCTGAAAGTAAACATATTCTCACTTACACAACTTTTATTATATTAATATTATAAAAAATTCCTTGAGACTTGAGTCGGAATCAACAAATATGGTGGAAATTCTTGCAGTCCAGATAAAATTCTTGTAAGCATCAAATAAAAATATAATAAAAAACTAAACAAAACCACATTTTGTTAGTCTTGTTCAATGAAATATGTATTAAAGAATGACTGCTACCCAAATATACAATTATGTGTAAGCGCGCGTGCGTGCGTGCGTGTGTGTGTGTACGCGAGTCTATATGCATGTGCCAGGACTCTTCCGTCGATTACAGCTTACGGCCGCATCACGTTCAAACACTAGCTACCATACGATCACCGAAGTTAAATAAGTTGGATGGCGTCACAGGTTGGGAATACCAGCTGCTGTAAAATAGGATGTGCGGGTGGTGTAATGGGTAACGGATTGGAATTGTTAATCAGAAATCCGAGTTCCAATTCAAGTTGGGTTCGTTACATTCACTTACGCGCAACTATCATTGGGAAAAGGCATGAATCCACATTTCCCTACAGCTATGGGTTAATTAGTAAGTCTTGTATCACTAAAACCATTATTATCTCCAAAATGAATAAATAAAAATCGCGTACAAAATATTTAGATTTCGGCATTAAATAACCTATAGAGTACTAGTTCTTTAGTCCCAGACCTTTTGAGTTACAGACCCCTATAAGAGCTAGCCCTTCATAGACTGACAAGCAGATACACAGAGTCTTTTTGGGTGTTTTGAAGTGGTTTCCCACCACAATTGTCCGCGCATTTCCCCATACTGCACCCTAATGCACACTTCACATACATCACTTTTCAGCCAGCCACTCTTGAAAGAAGATAATCAAGCCGTGTAAAATGAGGATTCTCACTTGCTCTTAATTCAAGGGCAAAAGATGGCGGTCGTGCAGAGAATGGTGCACTTCTAAATGGTAAATATGGACTCAACAGCAAGTGAAAAGACGCCTAGCGGTTGGCATTGTCAGTAGTGGCTGGGTGCGTTTTCTTTCAATCAGTGGCAGGATGCGTTCGATTGAGACAAGGGTTGTATAGCAAATGTAAATATTAATTTTTATCTGATCCTCACAGATTCCCTGAAATCCATCCATGAAGCCAATAGGGATCCATGGATCCCAGATTAAGTAGCTTTGCCTTAGAGGTTGATATGCTGCTAAAAAAACAACAAACCAACTGTCGATTCCGATGTATGAGGACCTAGCAAATCAAAGCACTAGACTATCCTCGCATACGACTGGATTCTAGGAATGAAGGCTTGATACATAGATAACAAGTGGACAGTCTACCGCAATTTTGAATTCAAAATTGCCCTTCTCTTAGATTGATTGCCATGTCTGTCCAATTATTTAACCCATAGATGGGAGAATAAAAGATGAATTTACAACTATTCTAATGATATTTATGCAAAAGTGAATGTATTTGACACGGTCGGAACTCGAACCCGGCTTGCCGATTTCACGTTTAAAGCACCACTGAACATGCATATAGGGGTGCTGAATATAACATCAATCAGTTAAGTGACAAATTTTATAAAAGTCTTAATCATCGGTGGCGTCAGAGGGAGCGGCTCGGATTGAAGAATCGGAAAACGGAGTTTGAATTCGAGTCGAGTTCATTGCATAATACTCTTAGAAAAAAAGGTATAGATCCCTCTCTTCTTCTTGCTATGGGAAAATAGCAGGACAGACAGGGCTCTATCACCCTGTTAGGCAACCAGTCTAGGAGAAGGAAAACTCTTAATTCCAACTACATGCTACCTTGTAGGTATACCTCTTTAATTTCTAAGCAGAGGGATGGGGTAACCTCAACATTCCCGGTGCAAAAGGAAACTGCAGGAAATATTCGGCCTTGAATGTCACATGAACCACAATTGTGAGACGGAGGGGAGGTTATAATTTATTTTAAAAAGTGAGGACTAGGTCTATCTGCCTGTGCATTCGAGAGACATACACAGTGAAAAAAAAAACAATATCAGTGTGCCTATTGTCTCTCGAATGTGGAGACAGGTACACGTTATTCATACACTTTGAAAAAAACAGGGCTTCTGGTCGAACATGGTTATCAACAAAATAACTTTTATGAATAAAAATGACAGTAGGAAAATTGGTAATGGCTGACGCGTTTCGTCCAATGTGGACTTTATCAAAGCAAAATACGAAAATTTTTTTTTTTTTTCGTATTTTACTTTGATAAAGTCCACATTCGACGGAACGCGTCAGCAATTACCAGTTTTCCTATTGTCATTTTTATTCATAAATATTGTCTTCTCTACCGATTAAATTTTCACAAAATAACTTTTGTAGCAATAGGAAATATGTGTGTACACACACGAAGACGCGCGCGCACGCACGCACGCACGCACGCACGCACACACACACACACACACACACACATATATATATATATATATATATATAAACACACAGGTGTGGAGGAACAAAAGTTCCGGTATCAAACATCTAGTGATTTTGAAAGGACTACATTAGGGCGATAATCTTCAGTAAACAAAAAATGTATATATATATGTGGGTACGTCTGCGCGTGCGTGCATGCCATGCCTAGCTGGATAGATTGATAGATATATAAGAAAAGAGTGAGATAGATATAAATGGACATACATAGATAGATAGATAGATAGATAGATAGATAGATAGAGGAAAAGACTGAGATAGATAGATAGATAGATAGATAGAAGATAGATATAGATAGATAGAAAGACTGGAGATAGATAGATAGATAGATAGGAAAAGATAGATAGATAGATAGATAGATAGATAGATAGATAGATAGCAATAGACTGAAGTAGGAAGATGCGAAATTAAAGGAGCAACTGCTGAAAATGAGAGACAGAAAGTGCGAAGTAAGAAACAGAAAATGACGCGAGAAAAGAGAAAGAAGAAAAGAGTAAAATGAAATGGTGGAGGTGGCGGTGTTTTGGGGCGGTGGGTGAGCTTCCTCATCAAGCCTCACGTGACCAATCGCTTTCAGGGTTGGTTAAAAACGTGCTCGCCCGCGTACACACGGTCACAGAAGAACGCCTCGATACCAGTCGCGTTTTCTCATACGCTCCTTTCTCGTATTCTTTCCTTTTCACTCCGTTCTCTTCCCCACCTCTCTCTTTCTCTATCATTTTCTTTTTCTTCTTTCTCTTCTCACAGCAGCCACCCCCACCCATCCACGTTCTCTCTCTCTCTCTCTTTCACGCACCCCGCTGAAAATGCATGTATGCCATTCCGATAGAATCGAACGCATTTTCGCATAGGCGTGTACACTGCGCATGCACCAACATACCCCTACCCTCCACGCGTACACGAATGAAATTAACTTATCTCTTGTGTGCAAATGGCAAAACCCCCACCCACTCGTCCAACCTGACTCAGAATCCATGTACGCAAATATCTAAATGGATCATGGTTGGTAGAAGACGTTATTATTACGCCTATGTACATGGGGAAGGGTTTACCGCTGACAGTGACACATGCCACAAATAACAAAAGGGAACCTTGCAAGAACCAGAAATTAGATGCATGCGGGTGACGAATCTATACGACGGCTGTTCCGAATGTAATGCCTTCCAACTACAACTGACGTGGGGAGCAAAATAACACTGCAGGATAGAGCAAGTTTTCAGTTACAAAATACGATTTTATTCAAATCATCAACCACCGTTGGTGTTATGGCAATTTACTCACGCACGCATGGACTCTCCCAGTTATAAATAGGAGCAGGTACTGCCTTTTCCAGCAGTCAGCTCTGACAGTCGGACTGAACATTTTTGCTGTAACACTCTCGTTTGTATTACTGTTTCTGTTAATATATTTGTTTAACTCAATTTCCCTCTTGTGTCTTTGTTTCTGGCCCTAACAAGGCCACAACAGTTGGTTATGCATTTTCGCCTGCAATAAACAAGAGGCAGCAGTTTTTTTTAATCATTTCAACCCAAGCAAGGCAATAAAACCACTAAGACGCAAGAGGTTACTGAGTGTTAGAGAATATGAGGAAAAGAAAACATTATTAAGCAAAGAGAACAATAAAAGAACAGGAATTAAGAAGACATATGATAACGATTGACATTGTATCTAAATTTTTGAAGATCAAAGTTGACTGTGAAGCAAAAATCGCAAGATAATTTTACAAGCTAGAGAAGAAACTATTAGCATAGAATTTACGGTTACATTAGATAGATAGGTAGGTAAGTAAGTAAGTAGGTAGGTAGAAACATACGGAGATAGATAGATAGATAGATAGATAGATAGATAGATAGATAGATAGATAGATAGATAGATATGAAAAGGACTGAGATAGATAGATAGATAGATAGAGAGAGATAGATAGATAGATAGATAGATAGATAGATAGATAGATAGATAGATAGAGAGGGGGAAATAAGAGAAATAGCAAGAAAGATGAAGTAGTTTTAAAAATTTTAACAGTAATGAAAGTTAGGGTCGGCAGGATAAGAGGACCTAAATTAAATATTAAAGATTTTAAGTAAAAAGATAAAAGAAACGAACAAATAACAACACAGTAAGAGAGAGAGGGGGAGAGAGAGGAGAGAGAGAAAGAGAAATCAATAAAAAGAGAAAGAGAGACAATAAAAAGAGAAAGAGTAACAAACGAAGGCGTAAGCATCTCTCTCACCGTTCTTCATTAATCATTTCCTCTCTATTCCCTCAACTTAGATGAATACAGCAAAAGGTTAAATGGGGGGTAGTTGGATGATTCGGTTAATATTTCTCTTCCATATCGTTATGCTTCATCATGTCCTGAAAAATAGCATTCCAAATGCAAGCTTTTTATCTCAGCTCGAACTCCGAACGCGCTGGCTAATTTCTGTCTATTCCATCTACGAGATAACGCCAAGATAGATATAGATTTTTTATATCGCAAATTATTATAAACCAAAACATTAACCTGAAAACTCGAATTATCTTCCTCAGCTCAACACTTCTCATATGAATGACATACATGGCACCAAACCCGTTCAGCAATAGACAGTCAGCTGTATACAACCGCCTTCTCATATGAATGGTTAAAAATGGCTTCGATTGAGTGAAGCCTAAGGGTCTTGACAAAGGCCACACTTCTTCGAAATTTCATCTAACCATCTGTTTCTTTCTTTCATTTCACTTTATTGTTTAAATCCACCTCAGTTTTTTTTCTCTTTCTCTCATTTATGCTTCTGTTTCTCTTTATCTATCTATCTATCTATCTATCTATCTATCTATATATATATATATATATATATATATATATATAAGTCTTTTTTAGTGGATACTCCCTGTTTGAGTAGACGCTCCATTTATTTTTTTCAACTTTATTTATTTTTTGTTTACCGGTCTGAATATTCGAGAAGGCTTATTAAAGAAAAAAGGCAGGATTCGAAACTCTCAAGCCCTTTTCTTTAATAAGATTTCTCGTATATTCAGGTCGATAGACGTATATAAATATTGTTTAAACATATAAATGGGACATCTACTCAAATATAGACATCCACTGAAAATGACGTTTAAAGTGATAAAAATAGATAGACAATATGTAAATGATCTCACAGATCACCCTCCTGCTAAATCAGTCAGTCAGTTATATGCCATGCGTGATACACGTTTAGGCGATCATGTATCTTTCGATACATGACTGACAAGGCAAATTTTTTCCCGCAGTAGGTTGCCATTTCTTTCTGCGGTAGACCAGTTGCCATCCAAGTCTATAGAACCTGCTCTGTTCTGCTATTTACCCATAGCTGGGGGGAGAGGGAGAGAAGAGGATTCATACCTTTCCCAAGGGTATTAGCACGTAATTGTATGTAATGGATTCGACTGGAATTCGAACTCGGCTCTCCGATTCCTCAATCCGAGCCGCTATTACATCACCGTGCCTCCCGCTAAATAGACAAAAGAAAATAAATTCCCCAATAAAATTTAAAGTACCGGTTTAAATATACAGTGGGAAGCAGATAAATCCTGAAATGTTATGTAGTAACAACGCCGTGACGTCATAGCGTAGCGAGGCTTGGAAGTCGCCATTAGAAATTCCTATACCTCAGTAATTGTGCGGCCATTGACGCACGAGGTGATTTAAAAATCGACATATCTTTAGAATACGATCGTCGAGCTGCTGTTGTGGAGAGCCTTCGCGCTGGCCACAAAGCCAGAGAAATGACTGAATGGTGTAAATACCCGAAAACCACGGTATTTGACCTTGGATAGGCTTATAGGGCCTCAGACGACAACGACAATTTCATGCAATAACACAAGACCCATAAGAATCGCTCTGGTGCCACTGTTCTTCGCCGAGGTTGTCAAGGAGAAACCCTAGCCAAAGAAATGGACACTATCATACAAACAATCGGATGTCTTGCCAAGGAGAACTAAATCTTATAAGGCAAACCATCAGAGACATCATTGCTAACACGGATAGAGACATCATTGCCAAGGCCTACTTCTGCTTCCCGCCTGAAGAAAGTTTTGGCTCCCAATGGGGGCCACATCGAGTGTTTTTTGTATCTTCTATCTGTGCTTAATTTTGTATAAAGTTTAAAATATATTAATTTGTCATATAAGAAACGGTGTTTTTATTATCTATTCATTTTTCCGGATTTATATGTCCCTCACTGTACAGCCTTAATAAATACAAGTTTTACTAATGATCTTTCTGCATTTCGATCCCCCAAAAACATGAGTGTATCTCATGGCTGGGATAGCTGCGTATTTGGCAAGAGTCCTAGAGATCGGTAGCTGAGCCTAGGCTAAGAAAAGTGAAGTCCTGATTTTCAAGGGCCCCTTTCAACCCTGCAGCCATGTTATAATTTGAATGGGGACTTGTGACATTGTGGCGACATTACTGTAACGCTGTAATCAACCATTTACCTGACACCAAACTGAGTGCCTTTTACAGCACTTTAAAGTCAGAATGCCTTTTACAGTTGTTCGAATTTAGAATGCCTTCTACAGCACTTTGAAGTCAGAATGCTTTCTACAGCACTTTGAATTCAAAATCCTTTTTACCCGACTTCGTATTTAGAACAACTTATCTTATCAATCAGTAGAGAAGTTATAAAATTTCTATTCGTATTTTTTTTTAATTGAGAATCATTAATTTAAATGCGGAATGTACGATCTAACATCTTCCTGGAATTATCATTTTCTTTGTTAATGTGACGTAATATAATCAACTAATTTGCGAAATATCGTTGCGGGCGTTTGTGTGCAGTTTAAAAAAGGAAAGCGTGAAGAAAGGACAAATCATCAATTATAGAAAAACAGTAACAATGGTTGTCAGTAAAAGGAACAACCCAACATGCCAATTACAAATTGGAGATAGCAAAATCCATCAAATACAATAATTGAAATATCTACGAACTGTTTTAAAAGAGGACGAAAAATGCGACACCCATTTCCGAAGGAACATTGGGATAGCGTAAAATGACTTCCAAAAGCTAAGCTAAGCAAAGTATTAAAAAACAGGAAAATTTCGTTAGAAACAAAGAAAAGATTACTGAACTGTCATGTAATATCAGACCTATGATAGTGAATGTTTGACAATCTCACCACGGAGGAAGAAGGAGACTTGAGGCAACAGAAATATGGCTCTACTGTAAGATGCTGAGAATACCATCGACTGAACGCGCGAACAACGAAGTTTTAGAGAAAATGAAAACAATATGGACATTTATGCTTAACATCAGAAAGAGACAATTTCTAGGAATGAGGAAAGAGGGCTTGGAAAATCTGGTACTCACAGGACAGATTGAAGGCAAGACAGAGAAAACAAAACTTAACCTACCTATCGAGCTTGTGAAAATGGTTGACAGGAAATGGGATTTGGAGAGATAGCAGAATGACAAGCTTTACTAAGAACTACAAAGGACAGGAAATTGTGGAGGGCCATGATCGGCATAACAGATGATGATGATAGAACGTTGCAGAAACACCGTAGCATCGTCATTTTCTTAGCTGAGTAGGTAAGCAGGCTAGTTCCATTCTGAATAATGGCGCAATGCATTCTTCTTTATTTCTCATCCTGCCTCCCCACCCCCATAACCTAGAGCTTAGTAAACAACAACATCTTCTTTATAGGGGCGGGTAACTATGGTGGCTTGTGCCTCCACTGAGCGTATGAATTAAAGATCTCGATTGTTTGTCGTTCGAGTCGCTTGAATATCGGTTTGACAGGAATTTGTACGTACGCGCGCCTTTGCTTGTGCGTGCGTGCGCGCGCGTGCGTGCGTGCGTGTGTGTACGTGATGTGTGTCGTATAAATAACGAGTAACATGAACACACACGCGCACACAGATATGCATATAGAAAAACACAGACATGCACGAATACATAGTTTTCATCGGGTGGTAGTTGCACTCACGTACTCACAAAAATGATTCACATTTCTCGAAATGAGAAAAAGGGGAAAAAAATTTATTGGCGTGCGGGAGAAGAAGGTTGAAGTTGGCCCCATTTTAGACCAATCAGAAGACAAGGGAGCAGGGAGCGAGCCAATCAAAATCAGCGTATAAAATCTAACTGCACTTTAGGAGGCGAAAGACTTGGTAAATATCTTGCAATCTGAATCATTCAACAAGTCAATCAGTAGGAAGGTGAAGAGTAGAGATTGATAGAAATATAGTGAATAAGAGAGAATGAGGGGTTCATAAGAATGTGGCGGGGAGGGGGAGAAAATGGGAGAAGCGAGGAAAAGGAGAGGGAGGGAAACGATAAGAAAGTGAAAATAAAGAGTAGGGAATGTTTACGGAAAAAGACAGAAATAAGAAAGAGATACAGATAGACAGACAGGGAAGAGAGAGAGAGAGAGAGAGAGAGGGAGAGAGAAAGAGAGAGAGAGAGAGAAAGAAGAGAAGTCTGAAGAAAAACAGAGAGAGTAGTGAATGAGGTTAAGTCAGATATTATAAGAGAACTGAAAATATGCAAAAATAATTAATTAAATTAAACGAAAGAAAGGGACAGAAGAAGGGAAGGAAATAAGAGAATTGTAAAAAGAAAGAAAGAATGAGAAGGAAAGAGAAAAGGAAGTAAGAAGAGGTAAATTGTAGAATTGAAAAAGAAAAGAAAGAAAGAAAGAAAGAAAGAAAGAGAAAAGGAAGGAGGAAAGGAAATAAGAGGAGGTAAATTAGAGAATTGAAAAAGAAAAGAGAGAAAGAAAGAAATAGAAGAAAAGAAAGAGGAAAGGAAGGAAGAGGATGCAAATGATAGAATTGAAAAATAAACGAAAGAACATGCAGAAAGGGAGAAAGAGAGAAAGAAAGGGAGAGAGATAGACAGAAATAAAGGAAAGGAAGAAAGAGAGAGAAGGAAGGAAGAAGAAAAAGAGCAGAGAAATGATAGAACTGAAAAATAAATGAAAGAAGTAAAGGGGACGAGCCGAAAATGATGAAAATGAGAGAATTTAACAGATTAGATAAAAAGGGGTAAAAAGATAGAATTGCAGAAAGAAAGAATAAAAGAATGAGTGATAGTGAGGGGAGAGAGAGAGAGAAAGAAAGAAAGAGAAATCAATAAAAAGAGAAAGAGAGACAATAAAAAGAGAAAGAGTAACAAACGAAGGCGTAAGCATCTCTCTCATCGTTCTATTCTTCATTAATCATTTTCCTCTCTATTCCCTCAACTTAGATGAATACAGCAAAAGGTTAAATGGGGTCGGGGTAGTTGGATGATTCGGTTAAGCCTCTCTTCCATATCGTTATGCTTCATCATGTCCTGAAAAATAGCATTCCAAATGCAAGCTTTTATCTCAGCTCGAACTCCGAACGCGCTGGCTAATTTCTGTCTATTCCATCTACGAGATAACGCCAAGATAGATATAGATTTTTTATATCGCAAATTATTATAAACCAAAACATTAACCTGAAAACTCGAATTATCTTCCTCAGCTCAACACTTCTTATATGAATGACATACACGGCACCAAACCCGTTCAGCAATAGACAGTCAGCTGTATACAACCGCCTTCTCATATGAATGGTTAAAAATGGCTTCGATTGAGTGAAGCCTAAGGGTCTTGGCAAAAGCCACACTTCTTCGAAGTCATTTTTAGTCGATGCCCCC